TCTTTAGAGAGCTCTCCACCGGAAGCACCTCCGGTTGAGGAACCAGCGGCACCCGAAGTAGCTGGATATTGTTCGGTTGTCTTGTATTGGTCTTGTTGATTGAAAGTACCATTGGCGGCCATGATTTTAGAAAAGGTGGGGAAGGAAGACTTTTGTCAACCTCACAAGAATTAGAAGATAAGAGGGGTCTCGGAGAGATGTTTTTCTAAGAAATTTCAGACAGATGAAATGAACTGTCGCAGATGGGTTTGAACGAAGCTCAAAATTGGGTGAAAAATGGCAGAATAGAGTCCTATCACAGAAATCGCGGGGTTTTCCAAATTTTGGGAATGTTTGTTAAAGGTATTGTGAATATTTGTGAGATCTGGAGAAGATAATCACTTTAAAGATTCGAGGATCGATATTACGAGCGTTTTGTGGAGGGATTGATCAGAAGTACAGAAAGAAGCTTCTTGATTGTAGGTAAATGCGTTTTGAGGTGTAGAAAGATGTCGAAAAGAATTTTCTTGGGGTAGTCGATGGTGGGAAAGGATGAAGCTGTTCTAAGTCTCCATTATTTTACAAATTCATAAGCGAAGAGAAGAACTCCGATCTATTGCCTGAGGCATGAAGGAGCTTCGCGCACAGACCAGAACTAAACAACAGGGTTCTATTAGTGAAGAGTGAAATGATATATGTACGGAGTAAGTGAATGTTCCAGGTGAGTGTTGAAGATACCAGATACATATACCATAGCTAGACACATAACGGGGCAAGGACTTCACTTCATTGAAACCTCCAAGTTGTTAAGAGCTTGAACAATTTGGGTTTATTTAGATTCATGAAATCAAGTTGTGAGGCTGAAGCCATAAGAGTGAAGGAAGATAGCAGCAAAGTAGCGTGATGATTTCTTGCCATGAGACTATGTACACATCTATGCTCTCAACGACTGTGACATAAATGTCAATAATTGACAGTCTCATATACAGTCCAAAGACAATCAGTCATCTTTTGGCTGTCATTGTCATCTTTTGAAGTAATGAGTCTGTTGGGATAATTCAATCATCTTCACAGCTTCTTGAACAACCATGACCTTAAATACCAAAAAGCCCTTTGACCACTATGCAATACCCATGGCGGATAGAGCCTCATATGAAATCAAACCGTCATCAATAGCATCCTCCAGAGTATTCCTTACTACCTCCGGTTGCAACTTAACACATCTCAATAACTTATCTTGCTCGCCATGCAAACTCATAGCTAGAGCTTCCTTAACTTCAGCTTCCTCTAACTCTTTCCTCAACCCCTCAACTTTCGCAAAATTTCCAGCGCCACGATAGAATTTCTCGGCATTCTTGGTCAAAACTGCCCCATTCTTGAAAGAAATCTCGTAGTTACTAGGTGGCTGTCCCAACTGAAATCTCAGAAGGTCAACATCACCCCGTAAAATATGAATCTTTGGTAAATTTTCGGCCGAAGGAAGTTTTGAAGCTTTCGTCAGATTGTCGAGTGCTGCCGTTAATACCTTCCATCGTGATGCTGATGCTTCGGGTGATTGAACTGCTTTATGATTCAGACGAAGAGAAGAATTATATGAGATGAATGCTTCAGCTTTGTCACAAAGTCCCTCGGGATGATCGTCAAGGCTCAAGGATGCGTAAGCATCGTTTAAGGTTCGTTCGTATGTACCGATATCAATTCGTTGGAATCTGAAATTGGCATCGGCGAGAGCGGCGATAAAGTTGGACTTTGCAAGACCAGCTTCTTGTTGTCGGTCTACAGTGCCTTCGAGGTAGGTTTGTAATTTTTGACCAATGAGTGTCATTGAATACTCTTCAATCCACGCAAGACCTCGACCAGCATCGACGTTCACCAGTCCACACAGTATTGCGAGTGTTTGAAGCTGAGCTACTACTGTGTCTAGTAAAGTTTCAAGAGTTACTGGCTCAACAATACTCGCCCATCGATCATCTTGTGGGGGCTGAGAGTTAGAATCAGATAATGGAACTCCACCTTCTTCCATGTCTGGATCGTCATCTGATGTGGGCACAGATTCAGCTTGGGTTTGTGATTCAGTGTATTGGTACTCCTGTAACGCCAAACATCTCTGAAAGAGCTCAATAGCTTCCTCCAGTAAAGCTAGGTTGTCATCATTACCAACATTTCTCGTTTCTAATGTTACTTCCGCAATACTGGTAAGAACCTGGGCGGTGTTGCTGATGTCGTTAGCCGTGAAAAGCACCAAAGGATTTGTGTACTACATACAACAGGATATCTGCATTGTCCTGCTTTAAACTCAATGCAAATCGACTGGCTTCTAGAGCAGCCGATAGAAGGTCCAAGAGAGTTCCAGGTAGTTGTGCTCTAAGCTTTGGATACTGTGTGAGCTCATACAAGACTCGGGCTCTGTAAAATGTTAGCCCATCTTCGTCACTAGAATTCAAGGACAAAAAGAACTCACCTGTTGTAAGCAAGATCGAAGGAATTTGGAAACTTTTTTAATGCTTCTTCATAATTGTCGATTGCTCTGACAAAGAATCTCGTCGACTATTGTGATTCGGTTTTTTTAGATTCCATTGAAGACATGAGCGGAGGTGGTTAACTGAAGTCTTACCTTTATAGCATCACCACCTCTCCACTTCTCACCTGCTTCTTCGAAATCCACTCCAGCTATGACATGTCTCAGCTTCCGTGGCCATCTGAAGGCTTACGAATTAAAGCATGACTTACCGGCAAGATATTCATCAGCAGTTGCTGGGATCTGCAGATGTTACATTGCATTCCATACATTCATTGATTTGATTCATTTGTGAAGACTTACCTGTGGTGCATGCTTGGACTTTTTCTTGGTATCTCTCAAAAATTGTTTCTTCGGCATTGTGGAGGTTCAGTTGGTAGGTTTGAATGTGGGAATAGAATTTGTAGTTTCAATGTTTACCTAGGTAGGTAGTGTCTAGAATTGTTTGAATACTCGTAGTTCTGTGATGTACTACCCAGGTACGTTGCGAGTGTGAGAAAATGAAGGTGGATATTTTATGGTGGGGTAAGGTATATAATTTATTGCTTTTTTTTTTCGGTCTTCTCTTATGAGGTATGAGGTCAAGGAGTGATGGGATGATACTCATGAGGAAAGGGCGATTAGCAATTAATTCATCGATTCCTTCCAATTGCTGCATCCATTCCATCCATGGATAGATCAAGCAGGTACTATCTTGAACTGAACTGCTCTGCTTTATTATTTACCCAAAATACACACCACTTCTTGGATATTTTATCCCAGATTCCCTCACTGCCTTCCAAACCTTTGGCTTCTGTACATATCCGTACATATCCAAAGTACCAGAGTCTATTCGCACTTACTTTGATAGCACCGGTGACCAGACAGAATTGCCGAAAGCTGATGAGGGGTGCCATCGAGTGTTTTTGCCTACCCCTCCTATCCTCTTCCCCTCGATGGCATCCTGCATATGCACTCCAATACGACTTTCACATCCAACCCAATACCGAAAAAAGCAAAATCCCACCACACATGTAAGGTGCGAATGGCCTTGAGGATTTCCAATTGGTTGATTATGGTTGTGTGCGTGATGTAGATGAATGTCTATTGTACCGTGCAGGACGCAAGAGCAATTACTAATTAACCTTAGGCTATGTGTAAGATCTTACATGTTCAACTACCTAGTAATCAACGTGCGAACGTGCTAACGTCTCTTCTGTTTCATATGGTATGATACAAGCATTACTAGATTTCCCTAGTTCAATGCGACCCAATACGACGGCGTTCTTCTTAATCTAGAATATATCGTGGTTGCCACGTGCAAAGGTAATAATCAAACTTGATTGAGCTAGCAATCAACGTTATTTTCACCGATTATGTTCAGGTCGGGCCCTGGTGGTCCTTTTCAAGCGTTCTTTCCCATCTGTCATGTACTTCATACTTCGTAGATACATTGTGAACCCGACACTCCAGATTCTCTGTCTCATTGGATGAATCATTAATAGCCTTGATTCTCTATATAATAATAGCTTCGAGTGTCTAGTCTCCAGTTCAGATCTTCTTGAGGTAGGTACTGTTCATGGTTGTCTATAATGAATTGCAGTTTCTCGCTAGTTCAGTGTTTATCAAAGGTTCTATTTCCATTTCTAAACAAGATGGGCATATACCAACTGTCCGTGGAATACTACGGCCTCTTCCGAAACATGTAAATGCTTAGGTAGACATTACTTAGGTAGGTAGACGAGACCAGTTCGAATCGATCATTCATGAGTATCGATACCTGAATCTCAATTGTGCTGCCATACTTAAATCATCTATTGCTTCGGACTGATCTAGGTATTGTTGGTTGGATACGAGTGGAAAGTGGAAGGAGGATTGACCTTGATACTCACCAATACCCTTAGAGGAATACAAGGCAGTGCATCTATCGTATATCGGCGGCAGACAGACAAAATTAGAAAATTGATCTCTTTTGACTCTGCTCTGCTCTGCTCTTCTCTTCTCTTCTCTTCTCTTCCCAATCTACCTAATTCAAAGATACCTTCTTCTTCCATCTATTCTCTGTCAGCCAAAAGCAATACCTATGAATCCCTAACACTCAACGTCTAACATTACAAATTTCCATCGGTTTCTCCACTTCACAGATATAACACGAATAGCTACTGATATCAACCCCATCATAATCAATAGATTTCAGAATCCCTACCCTCCACGTTTCTTTCCTCCCTTCCACAAGGTAAATCTTTCCCATCACATTTATTATTCCGATCAAATTGCTCATTGATATTCGTGGAACTTGAAAAGCTGACTGCATCAAATCGATCCTCCAGAAATTCCGTCGAACCACATATCAGAGATTGTAGACCCTTTCCATCGACTAATCAACCATTGCCTTTTATCTCTTGTCCCTCTCAATTGAGTCTTACAAACGTTCCACCGACTTTAAAAGGAAATTCGCGTCTCTGTATCTTTCTAATTTCACCTGCAAGTCTGCCATTCTGCAAGTGATTGCTGCCATATTTAGTCAGTGCGTTGCCGTTTTTAGAAGCTTTTTGACTGGCCGTGATCCACCTTCGAGAAGGGGTCCCTTGAATTTCCTGAAAGACTTTCCTAACACTCTCTCACTCCTGTTTGAAGTTAACTGCCCTTCCAATTCCCTTTTCCTCGTGGCATCCAGGCCTTGACCCACTTGAACACCTGCTGCTACTACAAAAAAGCCGAAGACGTGGATCAACGCCATCACTTCCAGACCAGAATAGCCTGAGATAGCTCATACCTTTTCACTCCCTCGAGCCACTCTGCGATTCGATCATATAACGGTGGTTATTAGGGACCACATCATACTACAAGAGGAAACCTTGATTTAATCTGTCATAAAATCTCACCCCGTGTCAATCTGAAACGAATATCGCAAAGATGGTTGCTTCCTTAGATTCTTCCCGTCCTATCATGGCACCAAGTGTATGTTTATTTCCTTTACTCTCCTCTTCATTCTACACAAACTTCCTGTCGATTCATCACTTATACTCCAGCAAAAATTACCTCCACAAATAATCATCGATCATCGCTGACAATTATGCCTTCCACAAAGGTCTCCTCCAAAGGCAACCGCTTTAGTACCTACAGCCAAGCCATCTCTATCGAAACCACCGATTCTGCTCGAGAAGAATTCACCGCTATCGAAGAAGGGTTCGACAAGTTACACAATAAGAAGTTGGAGAGTCAACGTTGTGATCTGACGACGGAGAAGAGAGACAATATGGGCAAGTTGGCATTGGGAGCCAAGTTGGAGAGGGCATTGGGTCGAAGAATGGGTAGTCAGGATGCCGTCATGCGAAAGAAGTCACCTTCACAATCATCTGCCGAATCACCTACATTATCAATGAACGAGAAGACCGCTCTCTCCGAGAGTGAAAAGGAGAATGCCGCATAAGGGATGGTGGATGTTGGATGTTGAATCGGGGGACGATATGGCTACTATGTTAGGAGGACGACTATTGTGTTACGGATTTTCACTCGGGACAATTATGGGCATCGATTGGCGTTCCGTTCATGTTTTGTCTTTTACGTCACCTTAAGCCTAACTGTTATACCATTTCATTTGATGGGGGTCGACAACTGTTTTCAAAGCTCTTATACCACACCAGCGCACGCATTAGCGAGAGATGATGTTTTTAAATTGGCATGTAACTTGCTCATTATTAGAACAAGTAGACATAAGGAGTCTAAGGATGAAATTATAACTTGAATGCTTCCTACATGTGTTTTATGTGAAAAGATAGACTTGAGAAAAGTGATACTTCAGTTTGTGTTGGATTGAGATCAACGAAGGATTGAAAAGGCGAACAATAGATTTGGGAATGATTTGGGAGATTTGGGAATGAGTTGAGGAATATGGATTATTGAATGTTCATTTCATTTAGAAAAATGGAGTAATCACGATATCAGAGATACTACATCTTGACTTGACTTGTAGCCTTGCAGCATAGGCCAACAGCTATGTATGTGAACTCTCTTCAAATAGTAATGTTTTGAACTGGATTCAAGAGAATACTGAATAGCTCGCAATTAGCTTGTGATATTCTTGAACACGAGTTTATCCTCTCGGATTTAGATAATCCCCTTTCTTTTCTCGTCTGAACTTTTATGATAGCATTGTATGGCCAAAAACGATATCATCACGTGATCCTGAGCTTAATCAATTTATGCGTCTTTCTCAACGCGACCGCGACCTCCATTGTCAAATTGTCCTGCAGAAAAATCGTTCTTCACGAAAAGTAATAGCTACCCACCACCAAAACTCGAAATATGGCTATGTAAGTATAACTTCTTTCAGATACGAATTGGATTCGATTGCGATTCGGATATAAATTAATAAAATGTTGAAAGTTGTTAAAGTCAAAGACGAGGCTTTTTCAGATCTGGTTGCTAACATTGTTAAATTCACCAGGGAGAGTTTCGAAAATATCTTCCTTGATCTCTCGAAAGAGTCAGGTCGATGCAGATTCGCTGAAACTGGATTCGGATGGAAACCATCGAGCGGCGGAGATACATTTACACTCGAGAGCAGTAATATCGCAGGCGCGCAATGGAGCAAGGCAGCGAAAGGTTTTGAAGTGAAGCTTTTGTTGCGCAATGGTGATATCTGTCAACTTGATGGTTTCTTACAAGATGTTAGTATACTATACATGTTTCACTTGGCGCATTCTTTCTGATACAATGTAGGACTTTGAGCGATTGAGTAAAGTTTTCAAAAACTGGTACAGCACGAATTTGGAGCACAAGGAGCACGCTCTAAGAGGGTGGAATTGGGGTAAAGGTGAATTTGGAAAGTCGGAATTGGTTTTCAACGTTCAAAACAGACCCGCATTCGAAATCCCATACACCGAGATCTCAAACACAAATTTGGCAGGCAAGAATGAAGTTGCGGTCGAGTTCACTCCTGCAAATGCTGATGATACGGGTACAAATGGAGCTTTAGGAGGTGCGCGTGCCAAGGGAAAGAAATCTGGTGCTGGAAAAGATCAACTTGTTGAGATGAGATTCTATATTCCTGGTGTTGCGTCAAAGAAAGGAGCTCGTGAAGGAGAAGAGGATTCTGGAGAGGAAGCCGATGGAGAGGAAACCAATGCTTCTACCATATTTTATGACACTTTAATGGAGAAGGCTGAAATTGGTGATGTTGCTGGAGATACTGTTGCCACTTTTTTGGATGTCTTACATCTTACACCAAGGTATGTCGCATTTTTGTTTTTTTGGTACTAAACTAATTGTTCGCAGAGGACGTTTCGATATCGATATGTACGAAAACTCCTTCCGATTACGTGGTAAAACATACGATTACAAGATTCAATACGACAATATCAAGAAATTCATGGTTCTACCAAAGCCTGATGAATTACATTTTATGATTTGTATCGGTTTGGATCCACCCTTACGTCAAGGTCAAACCAGATATCCTTTCTTGGTTATGCAGTTCAAGAAGGATGAAGAAGTTACCATTGATCTGAATATGACTGAGGATGTAATGAAAGACAAATACGCTGGAAAGTTGAGTATACATTATGAACAACCATTACATGAAGTTGTCACACAAGTATTCCGTGGTCTTGCCGGAAAGAAGATTAACCAACCGGCTAAGGATTTCTTGAGGTAAGTTTTTTCTCCCAATATTTGTCTATATGCTTTACTAACATTATTAGTCATCACTCACAATATGGTATCAAATGTTCTATCAAAGCTAGTGAAGGTTTCCTTTATTGCTTGGAGAAAGCTTTCATGTTCGTTCCAAAACCTGCTACATATATTACCTACGAGCAAATTACAGTTATAACTTTCTCTCGTGTTGGTGGAGCCACTTCGGCTTCCCGTACCTTCGATATCGCAGTTGGAATGAAGGGTGGAGCTGGCGAAACTCAATTCAGTAACATCAATCGCGAAGAACAAAAGAATCTTGAGGATTTCTTTAAGATCAAGGGAATTCGTGTTAAGAATGAGATGGATGAAGATAATACAGCACACATTGCTCTTCTCAATAATCCAGATATGCAATCTTCGGATGAAGAAGTCGTGGCAGCTAGAGCTGATAGAGGAAGTGCTGATGAGGATGATGAGAGCGTGGATGAAGATTTCAAAACGGATAGCGAGAGTGATGTGGCAGAAGAATATGATTCTGCCCATGAAAGTTCCGGAAGTGATAGTGAAGATGAAGGGGCTAGTGATGAGGAGAGACCGGCTAAGAAAGCTAAGACTGGTTAAGTCTAGCTCAAAATCGGTTTGGGGAAATTTTATTTGGTTAGAGAATTGATGGAAGAAGAACTAAAGGTTTTTTTCTTTATATCTTGAGGTACGGCGTTTTTCGGCTGGTGAAGATATGATATTCGGTTGGGGAGATTGGGATTAACAAAGTTGAGTGCATATTATGACATCTGGGATGGGAAGGGGTGGGTGAATATAATTTGTGGGAGAATTATGGGGTCTGAGGAGGTGGGGATGGGGGGAAGGGGAGGGTTAAGCTGAGGGGGAGGGGGAGAGGGAAGAGAAGAGGAAAAATGAAATATTATCTAATGTTTATGCTTGGGTGTTTTATGTGATGTTGATATGGTGATGTGTGATGTTGATGTGATATTGATGTGGTGTTGATATAATGTGATATGATATGATAGATATGATATAGTGATATTCGAGATGTATTATTTATATTACTTATCTGTTTTCGAGATTTGTAGGTAGGTTTGTAAGGATATAAAGAGAAGGGTGGAAAGAGAAGGGTGGAAAGAGAAGGGTGGAAAGAGAAGGGTGGAAAGAGAAGGGTGGAAAGAGAAGGGTGGAAAGAGAAGGGTTGGAAAGAGAGGGTGGAAAGAGAAGGGTGAAAGAAGGATGGAAAGAGAGATAGATAGATAGCTACTCTTAGCTTCTGACACAGAAATATGGAATAGGGAATAGGGAATAAGTTGAAGAGTTTATTTCTATTGTTCTTTTGCGGTTTGTGGATTGTGAATTGGGATGATAGGAGGGTAGAGTAGAGAGTAGTAAGTAGAGTAGTAAGTAGAGTAGTAAGTAGAGTAGTAAGTAGAGTAGTAAGTAGAGTAGTAAGTAGAGTAGTCAGTAGATTATGGAATTTGATTAAATAAAATAAAGATGGAAATGAAATGAAAGATTCAGATAAAGATAGAAATGGACATGGACATGGACATGGAATGGAAATGGAAATGAAATGGAAATGGAAATGGCAATGGAAAGGAAATGGAATGGAAATTGGAAATGGAAATGGCAATGGAACTGGAAATGAAATGGAAATGGAAATGGACATGGACCTGGACCATGGAAATGGACCTGGAAATGGAAATGGAAATGGAAATGGACATGGAATGGAAATGGAATGGAGATGGTTGATGGTTGATTAATGTTGGTGTTGGTATTAATTAGTTGATTGGTAGGAGAGTGAGGGAAAGAGAGGAGAGGAGAGGAGAGGAGAAAAGAGAAGGCTTAGGGAGGTATTTTTGTGGAGCGGAGGTGAGGTGAGGTGAGCTGAGAATGATATTTGGGGTTAGAGGTAGGTAAATAGGTAGCTTGAGATTTTGAGATGAGTGGGAAATATTCGAGATTTTGAGATTTGAGATTTGATGTTGTGATTGAATTGGTTGTTGTTGGGGATTATTGAATGATTGCATGATTGAATTGGTTTGTTTGTTATTGGATTATATGAACTTTGAGGAAGAAGTTTGGAGGGAAATGCAACTTGCAATTTGTAATTTGTAATGTTTGTAAAGGGTGTGGAGAATCGATGGATGAATGAATGGGCGGATGAATAGAGTAGTTGTTAAGAAATGAGAAATGAGAATTGAGAGTTGAGAGTTGAGAGTTGAGAATTGTAATTACATTTTTTGGAAAATAAAGGTGAAAGAGAAGGTTATAATTTTGTGTATTGATGATTTTTCTTGAAGGGGAGGGTTTTTGGTGGTGGGGATCTTGGGGGCTCGGAATTTGGGAATTTTGGGGGATGGATTTGGAATTTTGGGGATGATTATTTTGGGGAAGTGAGTTGGGGTGAGAGGGGATAAATAAGTTAGAGCGAAATGGATGAGAGGGAAATGGGGAGGAGAAGAGAACTTGTTCTTCTGATTGGAATACTGGAATTTGGGTGTTTGATTTGTTAGCTTGGTGTTTGTATTAATGGTGATGATATGGATAATATGTTTCTGTTGTTTAGGTTTGTTATTTGGATAATTGGGAGTTATTTTTTTTGATTGGGTTGGATTGAATAGCTCTAATTACCTAGTGCACTTTATGTTAACTAGTATATCAAGCAAAATATCGAGATTCTAGTTACAGATATTAATGAGCATGAGAGATGCTAATACTATATAACCCTTTCAGAAGTTAGAATATCTCGTGATCGGTTACCTCGGCTAGCTTTTTTGGTTTCGGTTAATTTTCTAGCGTAGTTCGCTCCTTAATAACATTTTAAAGAATAATCGCAGAACGGAGCTAGAATTGGGTAGTCTTTGCTTAAAGAAATATCATTAAGATCTTATCGGTGCTTATGATGTTACGGGGTAGCTAGGACGTATTAATTGTAAAGGTGGGTAATGTGTATATTGGGAATTGAGAATTGAGAATATATACAGGTGTAAGGAATTAGAATTGCTGTTCGAGACTATGGGAAGAGTTTCAAATTACTCCAATGTGCCATCAAATATCTCTATATCTCAGACTTTTTTACAAAAGAAACTTGTTGAGCATGAGATTTTGATCAGATTTCCATACACTTGTCAATGAAATCGAATGTATTATCCTCCCTATGTTTTTGATGAACCTGGTGGTTCTCGTCCTATACTTTTCTCAACCTATATCCGATAAGAGCTGATTAATTATATGGCGTAAAGCTATTCCATGTGCGGAGGGAACAGTATTGTCATCTTTCGAATGAGTAGATAGAAATGGAGTTGTGCGCGGGATTGACTTAAGTTGAAAAACTCTGTCCACATCATCTCGCTAGACATCGCTTGTGATGCTTGTGAGATGATATGCTCGATGTTTTTTATATGAAAATCAGCTAGGCAATTTAATGAGACCACCGTTAGCAATACTGAGACCTAAAAAAAACTGAAATGGTTGTTACACAAACTTGATCAATGCATCGGAGAATAATTCTATGCATGGACCAAAGTTTCGCTTATGCCTCGATGAAATCAATAATCTGTCTTGTACTTCTCTGGAGGCCAGTGAACATGAGTTCTTTTTTATACTCCGGTTCTTGGATATCAAAGCAATCGAACTATTGTGATATGCTGAATAAAGTTTCTTTTTCCGTTTCTGGCATGGTGGAATCACCAAATTCGGCTTCCGCTACTACGGAGGATCAAATTCTGTCAGTTGGGTATACCTATCGAACGGTGGGCGATATGTAAGCTAAATCACGATTTGTTAAGAACTGAAACTTGAGGAAATTCTCAGTAAGATACTCCCCCGTAGTCCCTGCAGCTACGAAGAAATATGAGGGTATGGCGTATTCATATCGGCGAAAGAGGCAACAATCGTGGCCTCAGTATTCGGAATGGTCGTCATCATCAGAAGACTCAGAAGCGATGGAATGGGAGTCGCTAATATTGGAGTCGTTCATGATGTCGGTGAGATCAGCAACAGCAATCGTTACTGGAGCATCTAAATGCGCTGTAGTTATTGATGGTGGGGTAGACGTTTATCTTGTTGCAAATCTAAGTCGAATGATTGATCGATCCTTGCGATTTGTGGTTTGATGTGCCTGGGGAAAATGATATCTATGAAGTGCGGGAAAGTCCATAATATGCCCCCCTAGTTCCGCAGTAGCTCCACGCTTAGGTCCAAGAAGTCAGACACACGTGATCCGCTTCCTGCTTGTTAGTTTATGACGTGCATAATAGTGTTTGCCAAGAGTATCAAATCTCTAACAAGTTGATAGAAGCTACCCCGCTTCTCCAGCACTTCAATTCAATCTAGATATCTTGTCTTGAGTATGTGATTTCGATTGATATATAATGTTTAGATCTAGTCTCTCGCGTAACTACAAAACTCCGACCTACATAGAAGAATGATTTTAAATATACAGGGGGGTGATTTAGCTCATAGACTATCGGGATACATCTAGTGCTTTGAAACCAATTGTTAAGTTTCAAGGTGCTTAGAAAATGCAAATCAGATCCAAGAAACGGCAATCAAACTTGCGGGGTTATATTAGACTGAAAATATGGAGCAACGTTTTCTCACCTCTATACTTTGCATGGGAAATGTACCTCTGGTAGGAAAATTCGTTTAATTTCCTGCCTGCTTATTGTAGTCTTGCATTGCGACGATGTGAATTTTTGAGATATTTGCTTCCAAAATTCAATATCCTATTAAAGATTATATCTCCTCTCATTCTGCTCAGTGGTAGAGGGGAATATCCCAATTCCAACACATTTTTGACACCAAGAACAAGAACAAGCTCAAAGTCATGACGTGTAAGTTGGTTGAGTTCAAGCTGGCGATGCACAAATTATATAAGCTTCATGTATGATTTATCGAAAGTATGATCCTTGTCACTCTCCCGTCGCAAAACTTTCCTATTTCAGCAAATGCTACGCTGCTCACTGAATGTGTTTTGTGGTGGCGTGGGGGTTTTGCAGTTACTCCATTGTAAAGAACCACTGAGAAGAATGCGGCTGAACTTGATGTAGTATTCGTCTAACATATGGAGCGCATGTATATTATGTGTACTGTTTTGATTGGGTCGCCCGACATCGTTATAGAGTGACAGTCCGTCAATAACATGCACTCATTGTGTGATCGTCGTTGGTATCCAGGGTTCGAAGAACATCATTGATCTTATAATAGTGTAAAGGTTATGAGAACAAGATACTAGCACGTATTTTCAACTTTTGTTCCTCATCATTCTGAGATACATTTGTAACAGGTATTCTTTGCTTTGATTTTGAAGATACTTGTGAAACTTTAACATAATTTCCTTGAATCACCGGATTCACAATATACCGTGGAAGAAATTGCATTACTTTCAGTAAGTTGGTATAGTAACTATGAAATCGGAGAGTGCAGCGAATTCTGATATAGTTGAGCCTGGTCAGGTAAGTAAAAAGTCTTTTTGATGAAAGTAGCCGCTAATTTATGACAGGATGTAAGTAAATCTTGCTGGCTGATTTTATATTCTATCTGATGTACATGATTGTTAATCTTGTTCCGATGATTGCAGCAGGTTAGTACAGTCTACAATAGCGAACGGTACTTGTGTGTTTAGTACCTTGATTTGAAACATTGCTAATGTTAATTGCTCATGATTGTAGGAAGTAAGCACTTTATCTATCGCTTTGTTATGTATTCATCACTCATGTAATATTTTTTGCCAGGAATTTTCGAAATATGTATCACCACCTCCCCCAGATCTTAGAGATTTGAATTGGCCGGTTTCCAAAGAATCGGAGGCCATCATACAACAGATAATCAGAGAAATTGGAGCTTGTCGATTAGTACCTCAAGATTCTAGAATTGAACTTTCATTCTATTTGGATGTAGAACGGTTCAAACGACGTGGTCTTGGATTCAAAATTGAGGGTTCGAGAGAGAGACTGAAACAATTTTCTATGATCAAGAATGAACACTTTCAATTCGAGATTCTGGACAGCAATCTTACGAACCCAGCGAAGCCAATTCTTGCCTGTTATAAGCCTGATACGGAGAGTGTCATATTATTTGAAACTACAAGCACCCAGTTAGTACCCCCGATTGCTTTTACATAATAATGCACTTGGCAGTATTAAATTCACGTCCAATACAGAGACCGTTGGAAGAGAGAAAAACAAAATACTGCTCCCAAATGGCTCGTTGATCAATGGAGAAGAATTATGTATGTAGTACTGAAGGTGAAATATTTTACTGCTCTGACTTCTAACAGATGGTGCCAAGGCCTTTCATCGGTACTAGACCCGAAAAAAGATTGTGGCGATAGAATTCTATGTTCGTTTCCATACCTAATTTCCGATAGAAAGGCCCGTTTTGTAGATGGTCCCATTGAAATGACGATTCAACTTCACCTTAAGTGTTCGAAGAGGTTAGGTAGCAAATCCGCAAATCCTTATTACGATCAAAACAATGGTTTTCACATTGTTTTCTACGAGAAGATCGGGTATTGGAAGATACCTAAAGGCGAAAGCTGGAAAACCGGAGAACTTTACCTGAAGACAGCTAAAGGTGAAGCTGAAGCTGAAGCTTTTCGAAGAAGTGCATTCACAGTAAGCCCGTGCCATTGATACACTAAGCGATTAACCCCAACTAAGCAGATTCTTGCACGATCGGAGTCACGTAAAGACCCCCAGGAAGAAGAATCCGAGCTTTGCTGGACCTTACTGTTACTGACTCCGTCTGACTTCTTCCTGTCTCACGACAATTTCGACAATCCTCTCAAGCTTTCATCCGGCCCCGACATAAGAGATATTGCAATCCAAAGATGTATGCTGACAGCAGAGCTCACCAGCATTCTTTACGCTATGAAGTTAGTTGTTAAACGGTGGGAAGAGCTGTATCAGCATATAGAAGGCCTGCTACATGAAGATTTTATGAATCCCGCGACTTACGTCGAACTCTTATTTGACGATGAGAATTTCAGCCAATCTAGGCTGTACTTTTGGGTAATTGGGTGTGTCAATGAGTTCCAAATCAGCATCGAAGACAACATTAAACAATGGACGTTATTTCGCGAGGCGCGCGTCGAATCGTATCTTGAAAGAAATCAGGGTCATGTGTCTCGAGACAACGATTCATGTTCAACGTCCAGTAAAATGAGAATGGGTAAGAAGAGGAAGGTTCCAGGTCCAGACGAGGAAATTAATACTGAGCTACCTTTTCGAAATGCCGACGTTCCTAAAGAAAGTGAATCCTCAGCCTCCTTTGACAACTTGAGAGAGAATAGCCAGAAGATCAAAAATCTGGCCAAGAAAATTGATGTTGAGGTGGAGTCCTTGATAAATTGGCAATCGCAATTTAAGCACCAACAAGAAACTGCACAAGCTTACCGCGATGGAGTAAGTGATTCCCTGATGATTGTTCTCTAGTGTACACTTAATATATTACCAGAAGTTCACGATTGACAAATTTTGTTCTGCTTAGCTGTTCAATGCTAGCGCTCTCATGGAAAGCAGAGCGTCGACACGGCTAGGAGAGAACGTCAAGCTACTGACTTATGTCAGTATCTTCTATTTACCACTGGCATTTTGTGCTGTAAGTACTCCGTAAAGGCAATTTCCCTTTAATTCCTCGTCACTATCTGGCTCTTCAATTTTCGGCGCAAATATATCGAGATAAAGCTACAGATGGGTACTGATAGCTCTGCAGGCACTTTGGGCGATCCCCGACATCACCAGCAGTGGTACAAGAAGCCCTTTCATACTCACAACTATTCTTGTTGGGTTCGTAACATACCTGATTGTCTTCAATCTCGGCAACATTGTAAAGCAGTCGAGGAGAGTTTATGAGCCGCTTAGGGCAGGTGTGATAAAGCAGATATGTAAACAGAGCTCGGATGACAAAGAGTCTTGGCGGCGGCCGGACGAATCTGAGTGGGACAAGCGGGCCCAGAGATTTGAATCGACTTTTGGCCCCAAGAGAGGTGACGGAGAACCTTCGGAATGGTGGATTCCAATGTACGTTTCGCCATGAAATACATATCAGGCTACTTGACACAAGGAGCTATACTAATAATATCTTGCTCATCTAGCTATTCGATGACAATCATTTCCAAATGGTTCCTTGTTCACTTTAGAAGTTTATTCCGGTGGATAAGTCAGTTTTTCTGGAAGATTTTTGTTGCTTTTGGAAATGCATTTCAATGGATGCGTCAACTTCTTAAGTTTCCTCGTAATTCAACATCGAACAACAGCCAAGAGGATTCAACAATAAATAATACCGGAGAGACTGTTTGAACAAACGCCTGGTCATTTACTATCGATGTCGCCAGTATACGTCACAAGAAGTGATTAGTATTGGCGGCATACAGGGAAGGGACGGATGATGAGGCTTGTATCGTGGTAGAAAGGTTCATGCGAAATCTTGTACTTAAGGTGTGCGAAATACTCGGAAAAGTTGGGAAATGTCTGAATTCAAGCATAAATTGTATAGGAAGCATGTGAGTATTAAGGTTCACATATAGACGATATTAATGAGTAGCGTTGCAACTTGCAGATGCCAAGAATGACCAAGTTTGTCAATATTTGACAAAGGAAGGTGAGGACATGATGTGTCTTTTGATCTCCTTCTACTTCCGATTGATTATCATCGTTCATGAGAAAGAAGGATTGAGCACAGAGCTTTGTAATTTTCTCCTTCGACAAACTACTTCTTCAAGCATTCACTATTTTTGATTATCTCACTACATCCAATTAACCTACACAATGACAGAATGGACAATCCACGGGATGTTTGCGACCTACAATGATGCTGCTCGACGAATTAATGCTATCAAGTTACAACTTATGGGAGGCAGACCACTCCATGAACCAAGACCCCAGCTCATCACCTACCTCCCCAACGACGTAAATAGATATTGGGAGATTATCGAAGACATGGAAGGATATTTAGGTCGCTATAATTTCAATAACCTTTCTAATCACATGGACTTCACCAACGCCATGAGATGGTATTTCCATGGTGGCAAAGAGGGCTTTGAGCTCAAAGCGAAAGATATCTATAATCCCATTGCTATCTACGTCCCAGGCACTCGCGAGGAAATATCCCGGATCAAAAATGACCCGAGGATGACCTTCGTGGTTCTTACGAAGAGAAAACGGATGATCGAGGGCATGGAACTGGGGTATGAGTGTCAAAATCAACGAGAACGGCTCGATCCAAATTCTCAAGACGGTAACAAGTCTCAACTGGAGTTACATGAGGAAAGAATTAGGGCTCGTGATTTGAAGGATCTCGGCACTCTGTATCTTACCTTATTGCATGGTTTGAGAACTCTCATTCACTGCACGAATTTAGATAAAAATCCCTACAAATCTGCATGGAACTTGAAAGCACTTAATATCAGAGGGCAGCTCCAGGATCTTCATGAACTCCTATCTGAGAAGTTAACAGAATTGTATAAATTATGCGAAAGATGCGGAATTGAGGATCAAGGACCAGAAGAATCGAACGAGCTCAAGCAAATGATAAGTAGAAAAATCATCAAGGTGCTCATACACATGGGTAATAACTTTCTCCCCTCCATGAAACTGTGAGAATTCAGTCTCACTGACCACTTCTAGATTATCTTTTCATAGAAATTTCCGACCCCACAATGTATAAGGACACCATTACAAATTACATTCGGGAAAGAAAGTCGTTGAACTATGTGTCTGAGATGAAGGACTTATGTGCAGAAGAATCGGAAAGTTATTACACTGTGTGGGAACCACAACTCTCTCGGCGCATGGATGCTATAACAAACGGCATCAGAGTCGTAACTGATGTTCTCCACGACGGAAGATCGTTGCTTGGCATATCCTAGATATGTACCACAAGTTTCTTTTAACGGAGTGTTTCTGTACATTAGTTGGATAGAACTATGTGTCGGGAATTTGATCATGTGATCATAACAGGTCACACTGTTAGCCAGCGAGGCGCTAGCGCTTCCTTATATAAGTACTAACTTCCTATAGATAGTTGAAATTGCGTGTGCATTGCATACAGAGCCTTAAACAAGATAGTGAGGGCAACTAAGCACACTTAGAAGCGAAAGGACGTACTCTGTGTATAGTTCTCGATTGTATATAGCTATAGCCAATCAAAAGTGTTCAAATTACTATTTATCCGAGTACCTAAGCTTGGTTAATTTCAAATAATACAAACTTAGTCGAATTGTTGATGATAGTGAGCTATACCCTAGAACCCTTTCACTATTGTTTACAGTACTTTGTACTGACATAGTAATTTCAGGCATAATGATCAAGCCCAATTACAACCATGATAGAACAAAGTACTTTACACTTATCAAACAAGTTGATACCAACAATACGGTTTGGAGTAAACAAATCTGCACAAAATTGAAAACTATTGAGATGTCCATCAAGATTCATCGCCAACTAAACACTAGACAGGCATTTGAATCGTCACCCCAGCCGATCAATCGAGTGTATATACGGCAAATTACTCTCATAACCCCCAAAAGCCCTTTAAGTACCTAGGTACTCTCATGCCCTAAAAATCGCACTTACTTTACTCCTATCTCGGAATGATCCACTTAATCAAGCACGCGAACCAAATCAAATTAATACCACTCCCCTTAACTTCTTGATGTACTTGGACACTTATCCGAAACGCCAAAAATCACACAGCAAACAGCAAGTAGAAAACTTAAACCCCTATAGCCCACCAGCCCCTCATGAAACCCCACATTCAGGAAACGCCATCCGTAAACTTTGATCCAACCCAATTCCAAGTCCAAGCAAGCACTGGCCTGATCCTTCAAAATTCTACACAATGGCAATCAGTTCCTAGATAAACATGATCATTTGCAAAATTAATAATATCAATTAAGTAGAAAAACAAGAAGCTAAAATAACATGCAGAAAAGGTACGTAGGTACGTAGGTATCTATGCCAGATTGCTCGCCTATCCTAACCGCATCGCTGAGGATTTTCCTTAGGGAAAAAATCATATCGTATCATATCGCATCCCATCCCGCTTTCATTCATAATCTCATCAGCCATATACTAAAAGCTTGAACATAAGTCAACATCTTCATACATATCGTTCCGTTTTACCATCTCATCCACTTTATATTTTCATCAAAAAAAGAGCAAATAGTCCAGCCCGATTTTGCCAACTCCAAACACCAAACAATAATACAACTCGAGGATCAAAACTCAAGTAAAATCAACTGTGCCAGCCGTTCCAGTCCCTATACTTTGTCTTTGCCTCTCCATTCTCCTCCTTTGTCGCCTTTCTCTTGCGTGATCAGTACCAGAATCTGGACTCATGGCACTCCATGTACCATGAGTATCTTCCGACATATTACTCCTTCCTGCATCGAATATACTTCCTCCAGCAACACTCGGATCTAGCTTACCAGCACTTTGTGGTCTACCAGAACTCTGCGGTCGTCCAGAGTAGTAACCTGAATCTTTAGGTTTCTTTCCACCTGCAAATGCAGGGTTCGGTGGTGTAAGAGGACCTATTGGTGGTGGTGGAATGCCAGCTTCTTCGTGTTTATCTCTAACCATTGATTCAGCTCTTCTCTCAGCTCTCTTCTCAGCTTCTCGTCTATACCTAGATGATACTTCGCCATCACTGAAATCACTTGTTGAATCCCTTCGCGAACGTCTTTGGCCACTTCGAGCTCTTCTTGAGGCACGTTCTGCTGCAGCTTCTTGTTCTGTAAGACGTCTCAAAGTAACATTGCGGTCTTTATCGCCATGCATTTTGACTTTAACACTGACAGGAGGACTTGCAACTGCTGATCTAGAGTGGGATCTTTGACGACGACGTTCCTCTTCTGCGGCAAGACCAGCAGCTCCAGCAGCAGCGGCAGCAGCAGCCGCTTCTCCTTCCTCTCTTCGAATAGATGATCGGCGACGACTTCGACCAGGGGTTGGAGTAACATCACTATCGGAAGGTTGATGAAGAACGCCACGTGGATCGGTGGGCATAGGAGGCATTGAAACTGTTTCTGTAACGACATCATGGTGAGAACGAGATTGACCCATATTTACCGGAACTGGAGCTGGTACTGATACTGTTGCTCTAGGTGCGGGATGAGGATGGACAAGTGATGAAAGTTCAGATGATTCTATTGAACTTTGTCTGATATGAGTTCTTGGTGGAAACGCGTCGCTTGTCAAATGTGAACCTTGATTAATATGTCGAGAAGCTCTCTCTCGCTCGTATCTTTCATCTTCCTCGCGTTCAATGCGATCCATTTCCTTCTTTTCTCTACGATCTTTCATTTTCTTGGCAAACCAGCCTATTCCCAAACTAGCAAGTAAGCCATTTCGTAGTCCATTATTTTCTTGTGGTCTTCGAGATGGGCTATCTGTAGTACCAGATCCGTAATCGTAGGAATAACTCATAGAATCAAAACTATGAGTTCGGCCAGCTTGACTTCGTACTGGTCTCGGAGTTACGGGCGTTACGGGTCTTGGAGTTGTTGGACGTGCTTTTGCAGCACTAATAGCAGCCGCAGCAGCTACTGGAGCTCCAGGTCCAGGTAAGATGGAACGACTTCCTCGGCGATTTTCATAATGATTTGTTTGTTCGGTTGTAAGAGTTGAATCGCTATATTCGCTGTCATTGCGTCTATGTTGCCTTCTACCTGGAGTATCCGGAGCAACAGAAGAATATTCGTCCTCATGCTTTGTTCGTTGTCGTCGATCGAAGAAGCTCTTCGCGAGCGCACCAGCTCCAAGAACTGCCGCACCCTTAAATAATGAGTTCATAACGCCGCCACCTTCCTTTTTCCTAGACTCATATTTCTCTTCTTCGACATAACTTACTGATCCGCGTCGAGATCTTGAGCCCCTGCGCGAAGGTATAACTTCTTCTCGAATTCTACTGTGATTGCGACTGCGGCTGCGACTCCTACTTCTACTCCTGTCTCGATCTCGATTTCCGAGTAAAGCAGCAGCTCCGGCACCTGCGAGTAATGGACCAAGTATTCCTATGCCAAATGAACTTTTTCTTCTCTCTTGAATTACTTCGCCATGTCGACTTCCTTCTCGCAATACTTCAGGAAGCACCTGTAGTGCCCTGTAGGAAAGAATGAAGTATAGTAATACCAACAGACCCATCCAGACCGCAAATAGTATAAAGAGGTATTTTGGCGATCCATATAAAGTCAGTCCTAGAGGTACTTGTGCAATTGCAAGAAGTGCTGTTGCACGGCCTATCCATTGATGCAAGACAGCCTTTAATGGAATCCTTCTCAAGACTCGTTTCTTTTCCGAATTATGTGTCAACCAGCCCGATAAGAATTGTACCCAGATGAGAACATAAATTGCCAATCCGATACCATGATGAGGATTCGTTAAACTTCGCGCATTGCCTACTGCCATCCATCCAAGTATGAAAATAACCGTTGATAGAAGAAGCGTCATGATTTGCAAGTATATGTGATATCGAATCGCATTTCGTATATCCCGGCCATAAAATCTCGCAATGAATATCGCCGCAGGTACGATGAATAGAAAGGTCATTGCAGCAAGGACACCATGAGCTGTAATTAATCCTTTATATCCAGGCATTGTCGCGAATCTATTTCCCATTCCTATTTACAGTCAGCTCCGTCATTCATTGCAATCTCAACAAACCAGATGCTGGCAAAGATTCACTCACCATTATATCTCATCGTCTCAAAATTTAAGCCCATTAAATTGGGCAACAAGAAATCATTTTTCGTAGCATCCCATGTCCCATCTCCAACATACATTGTATTTGATGAATATGTACTGCTCCCCGGTGGAGAGAGATCATCAGTCGCCATTGCGACGGGCGGATCTGCCGCCTAATGGCAGACAATTTCAAAATCCGTAGAGTAATTCGAGATAATTATAATCTTGTCGCATTCCAGATTATCAACGAAAATAGAGGAGAATGTAGAAGAAATGTTGTTCTGGAAGATTATAATATGGGCGGCTGGGAAGGATCTTGACTATGAAAATGTGCTTATCGCACAAAGTTGTAAATAATTATGATGGGTTCGCTAGGTAACCAACGCGGTGAAGCCAATTAGCTGGGGCAGAACTGTTGAAACAATGATTCTCTCAAAAATGAAGCTTTTGATAATTCATTGATGTTTCTGAGAATATAAGATCATATTACAGGATTGTTTAATCAAAGAAACCTAGAACCAAGCATGACAGTTTTCTGGTTCGTGGGGGAGATGAGAAGCAGACAGTTTTTAGCTGGTGGCTGGGTAGCTGCAGCTAGCTTGACAGCAATATCCACCATACAATTCAGCAAACACCAATCACAACACAATGTTTTAGTGCCCGGACAACATGATGGCTTATGCGGCCACGATGATGGGTGGTATCACAGTATTTCATACAGGCCGTTTTCAAAAAGAAACTTGTCAAAGATGAGCATCTATACCATGTATGGGGTATTGCGTCTGATAAACCTCCCGATGAGCATTGAGCATACCTAGTATGGGCAAACGGTTTTAGAAAATGCGGAGAAGTTTCCCCAGAGAGATGGCTGCATCAATGTGCCTGCATGTTATCGACAGGGCTCAAGCTCAGAATGGGGGTTCTTGTTCTTGATGTTGCTACTTCTTGAAGAGAAGCGATACTATCTTCGAGTATGATCATCATACTTAACTTTCGAGGTTTGCACTTGGTCAGTCACCAGTCACTAGTCATGATGTATGCGAATTTCTGTTGGATCAACGTGTCGCAATTTGTCGGCTCCGTTGCCCCTGCAATCTTTGGAGATAACTATTTAAATCCGGCGATAGACGGTGAATATTTGCCGTGTTGGGTGTCATGAGAAGAGATATAAAGTTCAACACAT